GGATTTGTCATGCCTAGGGTCAAATATATAAGTAATATACATCAAGTAAACATCAATGAATTTATTTTCGGAAGGCGTAACTTGAGCTATACATAGATATGGAAAACCCATTTAAATTATTCTTGGGTGAATGGGTTTTACCGGAACTATTTATAGACATTTTGACACGGGCATGGGCAAATTAATATTGCGATACTGCTATCTGTTTCCTTAATACACATAAACTAAGTTTTTAAAAGTATTTTCAACTTTTACTTGCTCTTACGTATAATTTTGGCTGATAATAATAATTGTAAATAGATCTACTTACCATACAATATTCAGTGAAGTCATAATCATCTCGAAGGGTGGTCCCTTTACCGCTCACACTGAGCCTACATGCCTTAAGGCCACGCTTAGTTATGCTTATCGCCTGATCCCTCTGTATAATATTCAGGGGAGATATCACCAGGATAGATCCTGAATCACAACCTTTCTTCTGGCGAAGAAGCGGACCAAGCAGGTGAAATATTAAAGACTTGCCGTAACCTGTCGGAAGACAAACTATACAATCACTTTCTTCCGCGTAAATATACTGAAGAGCTTCCCTCTGATATGGTTTCAATATAACAGAATCACCATACAATTGCAAAATGTTATCTATATCGGATTGAAAGCTATCCATTTCCTTGTATGTGTCTGCGTGTTGTTTTGTTTACATTCACGGAAAGTAGTCCGTCTTTGGTCACGTGATATTTAAATCACGTGAATGACCTCCATCAACAAATGCGCCAATGTGAGTAGTCCGGTCACGTGATATGCAAATTAGCCTGTGGCAGTGATGTTATGTTAAGTCATCGCTGTGCCGTGAATATTGCAGTGATTAGAACCTAACATATACTACTCATACACTTTGCTAAGGGATCACAAAAAATTCCCAACTTCACTTAAACATATTTATAATTTGAAATTGTATCCATTTTAAAACTGATAAATAATAATATAGTAACCCTTCTTTTAGGCAAACAGCTAGTTTAATCTAACCTTGTGCACTTGATACATGAGTAACTATATAAAATGGTTTTAATGGCACCAATCAACCATTTTGCAAATCATGGAATGAGTCATTGACAAAGTACACAACACCTGTCAATAGCAGGTATGGGATCCAAAAGATTAAATGACATACTGAAACCTAGGATCCCTACTTACAATAAGCTTAGATATTTAAAACCAAATTAGATCCCTCATCATAGTTTTCTGTTGAATCAATGGGATTTGATCCTTAGCAAAGTGTGAATAGTATATTTAGGCCACAAGTCCCTCATAATGTGATAACAAATTAGCTAAATTTTTTAATATGGCAAATGTTTACTTGTCCTAATACAACCTTAAGTTGGGGAGTTGGGTAGAGACTATAGGACTACTGGCTGAGTGATGATACTCACTAGGAGTGTACGTTGATGTTCTAACATGATTTTGAAGACTTTGTTATATTTCAGAAAAGGAGACCGTTCAGGCATTTCACAGAATTCCAAGCATGAGTGTTCATGTGTTCAGCTGAGAAAAAATGGATGAACAAGCAGAAAATACAGCAGCAAAGGACAAGGAAGAGATGGCACTAACACTTCAAGAATAAGATTAACTTAAGAAATATTCAGATGATTTCTAAGGGATGTTACATTTGGGAATTCACTGTCCCAGTAAAGTACAGATACTAATATAGCCATACAGTACTTTGCTTTGGGGTGTGTGTGTGTGTTTGAGTCAATCCCACGTGTAATTTGAACCCACCATCTCAGAGTGCAACACCTTAAGAAAGCGGAAATAATCCCGACTGGCTCAAAATGGGCTGTGTTTAGATGGTATTCAGACCGTCAGGATTCGTCTGGTATGCCTCAGTGTATGATAAGAAAACAGGAATAATCCCGACAGGCTCAAATGGGCTGTGTTTAGATGGTATTCAGACCACACATCGGGCAAATATCTATGCCGGAGACCCAGTTTATTCAGGAGGAGTCTGGTATGCCTCAGTGTATGATAAGAATACGGGAATAATCCTGACTGGCTCAAAATGGGTTGTGTTTAGATGGTATTCAGACCAGACATCAGGCAAACTATGCCGGAGCCCCAGTTTATTCAAAATGGCTCAAAGAGGGCTGTGTTTAGATGGTATTCAGCCAGACATCAGGCAAATATCTATGCCGGAGACCCAGTTTATTCAGGAGTCGCCTGGTTTTGCCTCAGTGTATGATGGAGAGAAGGGGAATAATCCTGACTGACACAAAATGGGCTGTGTTTAGATGGTATTCAGACCAGACATCGGGCAAATATCTATGCCGGAGACCCAGTTTATTCAGGAGGAGTCTGGTATGCCTCAGTGTATGATAAAAAAACGGGAATAATCCTGACTGGCTCAAAATGGGTTGTGTTTAGATGGTATTCAGACCAGACATCAGGCAAATATCTATGATCCGATTAGACCCAACAAATCCATATTTAATGACGCAAGTTAATCATGTTGTTACTTTATCTCGTAATAAAACATGTTTTTCATATCTGGACTTATATCTGACAATCCAGTTGATTAATTGTACTCAAAATGTCAAAAAAGAATGTTTATATCAACTGCAGTGAAATCCTATGTCTCTCCGATATTTTAACTTCGGTCTGCATTAGTCACAAAAATCACTGTCATATTGCATCTACTCACGCCTCGAAATTAAGTGTATTTGGCAGAAAATGGATACGTATACATATTTCATTTCTTTTAAGGTAATATTTCTTGTAGCTGGACAGTCACATGTCAACGCAGTGTTTTCGCGGTGGAAATTGGGAGATCGCGCGAAACCTCATCGGTGACAGGTCAAATTATTCTTTGCATAAATACTATCCAGCAATACACCAAAGTGCTGTCGCATAACCTTAGTTATGATTACAGATATTTTACAGCAATAGAGCAAAACCTGCAATTAAAATGAAACAATATGTTTCTCATGGTAACATAATAATTTCAGACTTCCGATCACTCCGATTAAATAAATCACCGGTAGATCGCGGGGAAAAGTGTGCACTGCTGATTGCCATTTCCGACGATGTATACGAGACAAATGCACACGCTAATCCTAATCCATGCGTATAAGACGATGCATAGCAAAACAAAAATATTAGACCTGAAAAGATAAATAAAATAGTTTAAGGATTATTAATTGAAAATATGACGTCTTTACTGACAAAATCGTCTTCTCTTGTTCGTTCACGGGAAGCGATACGATGTCGTTTTGTTACCCCCTGAAAGAAAGACTACATATCTGCCTGTCTTCATCATGGTATTGATTTCCTATACAGGTTTTTGGTGTTTGAGTATGGGAATATTTGATATTTAGTTGTTGGTTAATCTTAACATATCCTCAAAACTTAATCCATAGCAAACCATGAGTGGTAAACAACGTTAACTAATCTAAAGGGCACATCGGCGCTTGAGTGGGAAAAAAGTTATGCCAAATGATAAATGTTTGTTACAGCATAATATTTTTAGAAATATTACAAATAATTATAATCTCAGTGTTAATTCAAACTAGCCTGGTTTGTTTGACTGCATCATAACTATCAATTGATTGTATGTGCAATGTTAAACATCGGAAACAAGAAAGTCAGTTTCATGCACACATGTCAAATATAACTTCCTCAGCGCGCAAGACATTGGAACACATAAACAACCAAACGGCGACAGATATCAAATAAGCAGCCATGGAAATGTATACACGTATATAGTATTAAACGGCAACCATTGGGCGACATATATATGTATATTACATAAGCGACCATTGGGCGACATATATTTACGACCTTTGGGCGACGGTCGCCTAAAGGTCGCATATATATACATATATATACATGTACGCCGTACACTTTACCTTTGGGCGACACGATATGGGCGACACGAAAAATATATTCTCTATTTGTAGATATTTACAAGGTTTTATCCCCTTTTCATGTTTAACGTTTATAACCGAAGCAGAATAAACAATCAGTGCACGTTTGAAATATATGGCATTGTCGCTCAAAGGTCGCAGTTTATAGTACTGCCGCCCAAAGGTCGGATTTGCCCTGATATATACCAACACGTCTCACAAGGCCCCGTCATGAGACGACAATTACGTCACGTATATTTCACATTCAGCTGCTACAAATACATGGCTGAATTCCTCATACATTTTAGAGTCAAATAGCAAATGGTCTTTGTCATCAATATCAAGTGTCTAGATGATATCAAACGAAATATGTTTGGTGAAAACGAACACTTTGCTCGGAAGACTACTCCTGTTTGACATGTAATCACAGAACATCAAGTTTTTACACTGTATAACACTTTCTCACCTTCAGAGTCACCATGATTTGTACGGAAGTAATGTCACTCACAGGCGGGTTTCTTGAACTCGCCAAGCTCGGGTTTGAAGTCCCGCTCTCTACCGATTGAGTTACTGGGGCCTCAATAAGAATAGGTTCAAAAATTTAGGGTTATACTTGCGAGCTGGAAGTAGTTCTGCTAATAATAATATTAGCATTATCATGCTTGAAATTGATTTATCATTGGAGTCAGAATCCTACTCAAATGGACGCCCAGACTAAGTATGGTTTTCAACTTGGTTTTCAACAACTTGTGACTGGTACAATTTTGTAGAGTCACGCTAGAATGGACAGGATAGGAGGGCCAGGAATCATTGTTGGGGAAAGTTTGGTAACTGAAAATACCATAAATCAGTGTATGGAATAAGGCTCCGTCCGCCCGCCCGAGATGGGCTAGATTTCTGATGGACGGTCTAAATTTACAGCTAGCCAGTCCTATCTTCTGGTCAAAACGTTAAAATAATGTTCATTCATGGATCCGTGCATCTTCGCTAAGCCCCGCCCCTTGGATACTGTCGCGAGGCACCCCACGCTTTCTAACAAAATGGCCGCCGCCGAGCAAAGCAATTGTCTCGCATGCATTCCTGAAAACTTTTCTGTGTCCTTTTACCGATTGCTGATCAAATATCGACTAAGAGCATGCAAAAGGGACTTAATTATTACCAGCAAGGCTACATTCATGAGGTGACACTTCAGTTCCCGACCGTATCCGCCAAGTGTTGGCCATCACTCAGGAAAAACAACTCGCCTCATCGACTGTCACTTGACCTTGATGTCGACCGAATCAAATATGCTTATTGCTCTTGTAAAGCTGGGTAAGTTGCTATTTTCGCAGATGATTTTATACCTGTTACAAAAATGTGTGCGTACGATTTTAATTTATTGTGATACATAGTACAGCCAATCTTGAAAGGGTCTAGAACGTGGAGGCCAGACTCGTCAATGTCAAAATACCGTTTGGTTTTAATTATTGTGAGAGGCCCTAAATCAAATGTTGTCTATGAAGTTTTAGTCATTTCTAATAATAAAATTCTCAAAGTGAATTAATGCAAATATACCACAATTTTTTGGTCCAGCATTTTCCCAATAAATCCATGCTTGAAGAAAATCTTAAATATTAGGTTAGAACATTTGTATGGTCATGGCATTATTTATTAGAACCAGTCTACTGAGTATCAAGTAAACAAGGTAAACTATAAAATCTACTCATAATCTGCTAAATAAATTTGATCTTTGCTATTTCTCTTTCAGATTAAGTGGGAAGTGTTCCCATATAATAGGTCTGATCAAGACATTGCAGGGATTCAAGCTCCACAACTTCAAAGAAATTCCATCTGATTTGAGTTCCACATCCATGCCACAACAATGGAACAAGCCAAGGGGAGACAAAATCTTGCCAGTGCCTATCAGCCAGGTTGTGGTTGCTAGACCAACTGAGCAACGCAAGCGGAAGCCAATACAATGCCACACCAACATGAATTACAAGTATAGTTTTATTCTTATTTCATCAGACATTTTGCTAAAATTGATAATTCAAGATATCCATGAAACATATGTACATTTTTACTTGATTATAAGTTAAGAATGAATGATAACTGCCCTTATGTATCAGAATGAAGGAATTCTCTATTCATGATAGAAAATCTGCGTTTTTAATGATGTGTAATTCAAGTTACAAACAACTGTAAGATGATTTTTGTATATGATCTGTATGTATATCTGTGTATTTCAGGCTACCAAGGGTTGATATGGCAAGTCTTCAAACTCTACAGGGCACACCACTCCTGCATAGAACAGCACAACATGATTTGCCTTCGGTGCAAACTCCCCTGGGAGATGTGCCAATTGGATCTGCACTATCTTATCAGGTATATATCTACATATCTATGTCAAAGAGGTGCAACTAACTTAAAACATTTCAGAAGAGTTTGAAAGTTTGTTTTATTACGAGTTGCTGTATACAGTAGTAGCTTGACCTCATTGAACAACTTAGATATGCACCATCACTTAACAAAAACATCCTGAAATAATGTCAGGTGGCAACAAACAGACCAAATCTTGTTTATCCTCGAGAATAGAGATGTTGGAACACAATTGGACAATAATTTATATTGTTTCACCTTGTTAATAAGTCTCTCAATGTGAACTCTGTGCTTTGCCACTTTTTCTGTACATGAATTTTCTCCCATGTTGAATTGTTTTCCTGTCTTTCCTTTTGAGGAATATTCAGTTTCAAACCTAGTTTTTCAACTTCATTCTTGATAGAAAAACCTTTGTCAACCATGATGCCATCACCTTCATTAATGTGTCCAATTTCTTTCATTGACTTAATGACATCATAAAACCCAGACTGTTCAGTGATTGCTTTATCAGATATTGAACCAGTAAATAGTTCTGAAACAAACATTAAGCTTCCATTTGGATCACATCCAATCAAACCCTTAAGAGTAGAAGAGGACTTGTAATCACTGTAGACTTGACTTTGCAAACTTACAGCACATGGGGTCTGTGTTTTGACTTCTGTCCCATCAATGATAATTAATGTTGTTGGATAGTCTCTACGGTATTTTACAGGCATATGTTGTATTATATCATCCCTGTGTGGCCATATTGGAATCTGCCCTAGCTTGAAATATAACAGATCAAGCCATGTGTTGAAAATGATACCTGCTGACTGAGGACTTAGTCCAAAGCGAACTGCAATGTCTTTAAGTCCAAACCCATGCCTTAACCGACAGAGAGTTAGCAATAATGCATCCTGAGGTTTAAGTCTCTTGATGTATTTTCTCCCTGATGAATAATCAATGTCCTCTCCTTGGGGTAACAGAAATGGTAGTAGTGTGAGAAATCTCACATATGTAACACCTGTATAGTGTTTGAATAAGTTTTTGATTTTTTTACCCCTGGTGATCACAACATCTATGGAAAATAATGATGATTGTTGAAGCTCTCTGTAATTCCTGAATTGTCTTCTCATGTGATGCCACTTTGATGTTCAACTCTCGTATTTCTCTTGACTTGTCTTGTAATTGTTGCTCCAAATCATGTTTCTCTGCTGCCAGAGCTAGTATGTCCATTGCTGATATCCCTGAGACGACAAAATATTTGAATGATTTATTTATAATTTCAGATAAAACACATCAAGAATGCAACACCAACTACACACATATGTGGGAACACCAGTGTTATCTTGCCACCACCAGTGAAGCTTCCCAGGAATTTGCTCATCTAAATGATGAAGATACAATCTGTAAGGATCCCAAATCTCTTGAAATGAAAACGCAAAGTCAGTCAAATGAACTCTGGTTTGATGAACGCAGGAAACGTCTAACTGCATCAAGTTTTGGAAAGGTTTTGTCCAGAAAAAAAAGACCAAATCATGGCTTCTTGAACTCTATTTTCACTAGAAGAAACATAAAAGCACAATCACTAGAATATGGGAAGAAACATGAAAAAGATGCTAAGGCAAGGTACCATCAGAAATATCCAGACAGACATTTTCATGAATGCGGGTTTGTTGTAAACAATGAGTTTTCATTTTTGGGAGCAACACCTGATGGCAAGATCTGTGACAATGGTGAAAGTGGGATTGTTGAGATCAAATGTCCCTACTCAGCACGCAACATGACCATTGACAATGCTTGTGAAGCTTTAGACTTTTTCCTTAAAAAGGAAAATGGTGTAACTTCTTTGAAAAGATCTCACCATCACTACGCACAAGTACAAGGTCAGTTGATGGTTACTGGGTGCAGGTTTTGTGAATTTATTGTGTTCACTCAACTGGACATGCATGTGGAGAGAGAATAACTCCAGATATTGCTTTCATGCAGTCAATGTTAATGAAACTAGCCATGTTTTACAGAGATCATGCGGTATCCTACCTAAAGAATGCAACCACCGAGGAATAAATGAACACAGAATCTCCATATATACATACATGTTTCATCAGTCTGTGTAGATGTGTTCATCAGGAAGTCAGTTGACTTGTTTTCTGCTTGGTCATTGGGTAGCAATATCTGAACTGAAGCAGTCGACTGGGTGGATGGCTTGCTGGTGTTTAGTCTGAAAAAGCGAATGCATAATGTTTGACATGACTATGATGATTATTACACAATGCCATTTAGAAAGTGGTCAAATGTAACATGTTATATTTGGGATTACACTTTCTTAGTAAAGTACAAATTCTAGTATTTTGAGTTGAGCCCCATCCGGGATTCGAACTCACACCCTCAGAGTCAGGCACCTAATCGCCAGCACACAAAGAAGTCGCGGTAGCTGAATAGGTTAGGCGGCTGACTTTGTGTCCTGGCGATTAGGTGCCTGACTCTGAGGGTGTGAGTTCGAATCCCGGATGGGGCTCAACTCAAAAAGTACTAGAATTTGTAATTTTACTAAGAAAGTGTAATCCCAAATATAACATATGTTAGACTATGATGATGTTTATTATTTATTGTCATTATGAATATTATTTACATGTATCTTTCCATCATTAAAAAACATGAATGAATCTACTCTGATGTGTGTAATTTGTGAAACGTATACAAGTCAATATTCTCTCTGAGAACAGACTACACTACATAATGAAAACATACATCTACAGTGAATAAGGGGATAATGAAAACTCTGGGCACTCTGAAAAAAGATATGAAAGACATAGAAATAGCAATGAAACCTAAAATTTGACTGAAGTTATTTAGAATAAATTAGCATAAATATTAATAATTATCCCACAATTATGATTTAGGCCTACGGTATATATGTATTTTCCATTATTGAATTTGAAGAATGCATCTAGTTTGATTTGTGTAAGTTTTTAAATACACACATGTCAATATTCTCTCCGACAAGAGATGACCTCTGCTTTTTATCCGATATGCAGGGAGTGTACTGGCTTGGGCGTTTCAGGGGTGGTTTCCTGACTGGCTTGGGGCAGGCTCCGTCTGCAGGCACTGGGTCAGGATATTCTCTGCTCGGTCCTTTTCCTCCTACAAAATGCTGGAATAAAACAAAATACTATCAGATAAGACAAACAGAAATACATGTCCATTGTCCAGCTATCTATATCTAATTACGCATCAGGCCTAAAAAATTACGTCGAATCAGAGATCGAGTTTCCTTTGCCAGAAATGGTTACAAATGAATTCTCCAGATATATTATTGCTCCGATCTCGTGTTATAACAGTGAACATTCTGTATAAAACTAAGTATGCCTTTTCATAAGATATTATTTACGTGCAATAATTTTTACCTTAGAACATACAGCTTTGTGTTGATTTATTCTGGATAAATTTAGCTGCTCATGGGGACGACCGCAAGCTTTAATCCAGCGCTTGCATTTTTCTTCATTCCGTTTGACAGTTGGAAATCGGACGAAAAAACCTCCTTCCAGTCTTTCAGGGTAACGTTCGTCAGCATTGCATGTCCCCCACGCGCATCGTAATACCATTTTCTGTGCTTTTCACCACACGGTAACTAAGGACAACGGCGTTTGTTTGTGGGTAAAATATGGCGGGCGTTTGATAGCAGATCGGCACAGAATGGAAGCTTTTTTCTGATTGGTTGATACCAGCTGTCAATCAATATGCGCGGATCCATGAATAACAACATTAGGCTCGTACGACGAGTGTTATACATTAGTGCAACAATATTGCAACGTCACAGTTAAGCATGGGGACAGGTCGTGAATTGCAACAATACTTTGAAACAAAAAGATACAAATATGTTTGATTTCACGTGCGCTTATTTGGTGAGGGATTCTAAAAACAGGCCAGGGAAGCCCCCTGCGTGCCGATGTCAGTGATATATTAAAAATCTGTTATTGGTAGTGATGTCGTATGTCAACATTGTTGTAAATGTTGAGCAATTTGTTTAAGATAAAAGTCGTTAAACACAGTCACACCGTCAAGCTACTTAGCCTTTGATAATGTATATATCTTTCAGATATTGATTCGCGAAGCTTATTTCATAATCTACATTTAGCCTTCAGGCCAGTCAGAAGCGATACACATAAGGCAGAGAGGTTTATGGATGTCAACCTCTTTATTATGAGAAAACAATGATTTCGAGTAAATACTTACTCCTTCATCAATTGAAGAATATTTACATTTAGGCTTATTCAGTATGATATCATACATGGATATAGGCTATACGTGTTTGTATCCTTTGCAAGTGTCTGCTTGTTTGAACAATATTTAAAGACGAAAGTGACACAGTTAGTGTAGTACACCATAAAAATATTAAAAATTGTAACCTGTACTCAAGTGTTAGATGAAATGTAGGCATAACTACAACACGTGCTTTGTGCATATAGTGTGCAATAGTCAATATTCCTTGGAACAAACCTCACATAATTATTCTGACAGTCCCATACAAAAGGGTCTATTTTTTCATCTTTAATTGTTTACTTTTGTAGAGAAATAGCAACACCATCATGAACAGAGGAAACTCCTGTCCTGAAAATATGCTCATATGTTTTGAACTATTCTGTATCATTTACGGTAAATCAAAATACACAATCAACTATTCAGGACATTTATTTAAATTGTAAGTAATTCATTTCATGTTCTGGGGAAAGCATGGCTGCCAAAACGAAGTCTCTCTAGAATCTACATACATTATGTGAGGTACATATATTAACTAATGGACATACAAATGTCCTATTTTCCGACGTCGCAAACAAATCTATAAAACAAACCACGAGGTAATGATTTCACATGTTGTGCACTTTCAACATTTCTTGTAATTTGTGATACTACCAAACTCATCGTGAACGTATCCGGTTACAATGTGTATTGGAATAGTCTGGTTCATCGTGAACGAAACCTCACGAAAATAAAGTGTCCCTTCTCAACAGTGAATTCTCTCCAAGTGACCTGAGTTACAATGACATAATATAAAGCATAGCGGAGTTTCGCCCCTCGTCTCTATGCCCGTGTCAGTTATGTCAAGCCACAATAGTAACAAACCCATCGGGCATTATTGATTGTAAAATGTATGAGGAATTCAAGGAGGTGTGTGTTTAGAGCTGAGTGTTAAATATTTGTGATGTAATTGGCATCTCATGACCAGCTTACGTGAAACAGTAAACACTATCAAACATAACAGAGAGCTCACTTCGGCGCGTGTGTTTGCCTGCTCCCGAGACGGTCCAAACGATTTCAGGGTTATAGGCGGGGTTTCAGTACAGTCATTGGCGACTTGATAAAAACCACATACCACTTATCACTAACTGGCTATTTTTCAAATTCAGTTCAACGGGTTAATATCCGATATTTACCTTTACAACATACAGTAAACGATGCCGCGAATGGCGAACTCTTTATGTGTCCAAAAATGGCGAGATTTACCATGTACATAATTCTGACCGGTCATTTCAGCAATTGTGCTTTTACCTAAAACAATATGTTAGATCAGGAAACAGAGAAGTGGGGAGGTGCTTTGTCATTCTGGCATCCAGGATTAACAAATATGAGATGTTGTGGGTGATGATTGTCATGTGTTTGATTTTGTATATTGTGTGTTTTGTCACTACAGAAAGAGTACATTTCCCTGTGGCACCAAAAGGGTTAAATCTCAGTAGTAATCAGCTACAGATGTCCATCCTTCCCTTTGTTAAAAGATAAACCAACACATGGTATTTGACAAATACTGTTTGTGTTGTATGGCACGATGCCAGCATTGCGCCGCTCTCTGTCCTATCTGGCCGAGAAGACGGCCGGGCACCTCAGTGTGTACCTGTGACGTCACCAGCAGTGTGACGTCACTGTCACTGTACAAATGGCGCCATTTTAGCTGGGTGAACCTGGGCTCAGTCTGAGATCACAGTGTGCAGCGACATGTAAACAAACAGTTTGTTGTTGTCGGTTTCACAATATTCGCGATATTCTCAGAACAAAATTAACACAGAATTATGTTAGGACGGGCGACGTTTACGTACAATTCTACCATGAATCAAGAAAATACTAGATTCTGATTGGTTGTTCAGAAAAATCAGACGCGTTCGGTTCCAATTGAAATCAATTCAGTAAAGCATGTCTCTGATTTTCAAACACACTAGGTTTATCTCCTAATCACTCACCGTTTATGTTTACACTCACTTCACAATTTTCTTACCTGATCACGAGGTTCTAAACACAACAAATGACAAAATGTCTGAAAATACATTCAACAAGTTTTATTTATATTCACAAAGTAAACGGAAATCACGTGAATCGTGACACACGACAACGTGGACGGCACACACCTCGTCAGTGTCAGTAACGACATGTGCACCGTCACTGTCCACACCAACACTGACTTCAGTGTCCACCACGTGACACCAGGAACTCCACCACTCGCTGATGTCCATAGAATCTCGCGTAGTAGACCGCTGTGCTCCCGTAGTTGTTCATGGCGTTGATGTCCAACACGTTCAGGGACACGATCAGCTTCACGATCTCCAGGTCTCCTACACCCCAACAGGCGTAGTGAAGGACGTTGCTACCGTACCTGTTCACCAGCGACACATCAGCCCCTCTACCCACCAGGAACTCCACCACATCTCTGTGTCCCCTCACTGCTGCCGCCATCACCGGTGTCCCGCTGTAGTCTCCTCTAGTGTTGATGTCCACGTGACCCGCTGCCTGTGGATCCGCTTCACTCTTTCCAGGTCACCGTCCTCGCTGGCGGAGTAGAGGTCGCGGTCTGTGGCTGGTGATGGAGTCGCTGCAACACAAAGTAAACTGTGTACATCAGACATGTTCGTCACACATCTACAATGTTTTCATCATGTGATACGTGACTCGACATTGCTGCATCATTTAAACAATTCCATCATGGCTGACAACAATACAACATGGCGGGAATGTCAACTTGTGGTTTCTGGAATTATGGATGGTGTGTTTAATACAGAACTTTCTGTCAGAGCCAGAAGTTGTAGCATTATTTTGTGTACGTGTGGAGAGTGTTGATGTTTGTTGAACTTTACAAGTTGATAATGTCAGTACGGCTCTTGTTTGGTTTTAGGGTAATAAGATATAACGTTGGTTTATGTCACAGAGTTTTAATTGGTGTTTGACGCCACACTCAGCAGTATTCCAGCTGTCTGGTGGCGACCTCAGCATAATTATCTGGTTCATGGAATCCTGTGACTGACAACATGAACGTCGATCGACTCCACTATTCTTCCTGCTTGCTGGGTTTTCCGACCTACCGTGGGAGTCTTGTGTCGTCACTGGCGCTGGTGGAACCGTGTTGTTCGGTGTCAGATCATCACTCACGTCGGTCGTCGAGGCTGAAACAGGGAATATGTTGTTCAGAAAACTATACATAGCACATAAACATTTCTATTGCTGGCTCAGTTTTCGCCTTTCCACATAATGTTTCGCCTTTCAGTATTATGTATGATTAAATTCTAAATACATATCTTATGAAAGAAGTATTAAATATATAACGTTCAATTTGATTGAGGTCGAGACCGCGTGTCTCTGCAGGAAAAAACCCTTCCTAAATTTAGTTTTTACAGTTTGAAATCCTCTGACTAACAACATGAACGTCGATCGATACTACAGGTGAGACTCATCCCTCAATCACCACGGGTATGTACATCAGCGTGTTAAATGCAGGGGAGGATTAAGAACTGAGCTTCCTGCCTGCTGGGTTTTCCCACCTACCGTGTGGATCAGGGTCTTGTGTCGTCACTGGCGTTGGTGGGACCGTCTTGCTCAGGCTCGGGTCAGTCGAGGCTGAAACAGGGAATATGTTTTCCAGAAAACTACAAATAGCACATAAGCATTATAACTACTGGTCCCGCTTTCCAAAAAGTTTTGCCTTCCATTATTATGTAGTATGTAGTCCAAATACATTGGTTGTAGCAGAGGTATTAAAAAACGTATGTTTCGACTTGATTAAGATACCTGTTGATCGAGACTGCGTGCCCGAAACAAAGAGCACTTTCTAAATTCATTTTTTACAGTTTGAATCTGAAAATGTAATAAGCCGTGTACTGTCAGTGACTGTGTGTTAACAGCTGAGATGCTCTTCTATGTTCAAATGTAGTACTGAATGAATACAAATGTTAATTGTTACTTTGGTTTGAAATATAAACATGAACGGTGAAACTAAAGAATCTGTTGGCCCTCAGGGTTAAGGTTAGGTTACTAACGACTATATTCTACAGGGAATTCATATATAAACATATAGTACATGATTATTCACATTAATAATTGATTATTACACTAAATGAAAAAAATAGATAAACAAACAAAAACATCTGCACTTATACCTATTCCCCTCTATGGGGTGACTAACTGTTAGTTTGAATTCATTAACCGTGGTTGGAATTCAAAGATGCCTTTCCTTCACATATTGATACAAAATGCATGAAATAGTTACTAGATAGTAAAACAACATCAAACGACATGAACCACTGATAATGCGGTTTCGCCACTCTTTGACTTGATGTTTATGCAACACAGTTTAAATTTAGTGTCAGGTAAACTCTGTGAAGCACTCACAAAATGTCAGAATACCGAGCGATGGCGACAATGCATTTTTCACACAACAACATGATCCTATCTGAGTCGGAAACTTCAGCTGACACAACCGTACTTTGTCGATGGAAGCAATGTGCTTTGATAAACAACAAGGGTACAAACACGTGGCAGTGTGTGGTGGTAAAGATCCACATGTCGGCGGTCCGAGTGATAACATTCCGTCTGTTTCAACATTAGAAATAACGAGAATAAAGCATATTTGCCCTTCCATAATTTACATTCAATTGCATTGTTTTAAAATGTTGCAGAAATGCATGTGTTCCACATAAAGATTTCATTGCTTAAAAGAGCAAATCTACAGGTCGTCATTGTAACCATCTTTAAACTGCTACATCTGACCATGTGCTATAGCGGGATGTATTTCAATTCAATGCAGCTCTTCATGGACGCAGAATATAAAAATGAAACACATTTAAAATGAAATACTTGACTAGACAGATTTAAAATAGTCTCATAACGTCTTCCGATCCCTGAGAGTTGTAAATGCTATCAGGCCAAAGGATAACCCTTTACAAGCACATACTGTGATCAAATATAACAAGTCTATCAGGTGAAACGCCGCGTTGATGTTTCACCCGACCTTCCTTCATTCCCACCGGTGACAGGCTAAACAAACGTCTGAATGTAAACATTGTGTGAAGCAAGCACTTAGTTACCACAACATTCATATTGCTTTACAGCAGTCGTACTATAAACTATTTCATCTAATTTCCTAAATCAGTTCAAAAGTAGAAACTGAGAACTTACCTACCAATAACGTCCTAACACGAGCGACTCATCTCACTGCTAGTTACGAAATGCCTTGACTGGATGACACTACACGGCCGCAAAGCTGCCAGCTATGACGCCATTGTGGACGTGACAGGTTAGAGAGATGGCAACGTTTGGCGCTCGACTGTTTGGACTGGATTAACAACTTTGTATGGAAATATTTCTATCCGACCCAAGTTTGTCTTTCCCTCCGGTTTTATCAGATGAAAACAACATATTACAACATATGTTGCGCTACCCATGGCATGGCATGGACAATAGTTGTATAAGCGCATATCGGCTTCTTCCCTAAATTAGAATTCACCGATTGTTCACAAAACTCCCAATAGTTGCTTTACAAAGCATAAATGTCCCTTCAATGCATCGCGTTATATGTGGATAATTAATTAGACGTTAGAGGCTATCATTCTGTCATCAAA